CACACCCTCTAAATGTTTTTGATTTTCTATGCTGGGATTGATGTTATTATTCGTTGAATTCGATCATATAAAACACCGATATTGTTCATGTACTAAGATTATACTATTTTTTTCTTCATATTGTTCTTGTTAACTGATTGATTTAAGGAAAAAGTGAGAATAAATGATTGGAAAATTGAACATATCTGTTTTGTTTATATAGAGAACAATATCTTTTTACATAATTAAAAGAGTTCAATTAAATATTTTTTGTTTTTTAAGCTGCAATAAGAGGCATGTAACGTTGACGATGACGACGAGCAAGTCCTTCAAAGAAACGATATGTGAACCATGTCTAGAAATAAATATCAAATAAGAACATCAATTAAAATAGAAAAATATTTTCTTACTCGAACGTAATAATGCGATATATTAAGATGTGCAGCAATACTTTCTATTTCATTTATTTCAGGAATATTATTATGTTGAAAAACTGAATAATAAAAATTCAAATTGTTAAGCATTAAGAATGAATGAGAATTAAAAATATCTTACATTGTTCAAGTGAGTCTATATGTTCTTTTGTTAACATTTTTATAACCCATGAGGCACGTTCACATCCTTAACAAATATCAAAATTTCCACTTTTACAAGTATTTTCTCACTTCTCCTTACCTTTCTGTATTACTAAATAATCATTATCCATTGCTGCTAAATAAATTCAATATCAACAAATAAGCAAAGATAATCTTGATTTCTACGCTCTTTAATTGAAAATGCGCGGCTTATGTTATATATATATCGATAACAGAGAGAGAGAGATCACTATAGACCAGTTCGTCTATATTAGTTGGTCTATTTGAGTTCTTAATTATATATATGGAATAGAAATGATACTGGCAAATGATGATATTATGAAAAGAATGCATTTCATATGAAAAACAAAATCTATTGGAAAGAATAAATACAATTGTTTCTTTCAAAGAAAGGTTCACTATAGTTTGTATCGTCCGCAAAATCATTGAAATAGAAAAAATGATAGCAATCGTCTAGACATTCTATCTTTTCAGATAAAATAATCAACCGATCATGCAGCATTTTATTTTTGATTAAAGTCTTTAACATATTAGAAGACGTCGCTTTGACAAACAAATTAAAAGACAATTTAGAAAAACCTATCTTCTTTCCCCCCTGAAAAGTATTCTTTTAATGATTTCTATAGCTTTTTCATTTCTAATCCAACATGTTCAATGATCTTTGGATCTTTGTAATTGTGAGAGAGGACTCAATGAATGCATATGTAACAAGCCTAAAAATTGAATTCAAACTACTATTCAGCTTTCAGTCGTTCACGCAACTGCTATATTCAGTGTCTTGCCGTCACTTTCTTCAAAACTCAGCTCAATTCAACCGTCAAACTCGACACATACAATACATTCAAAGAATTTTTTTGCTTTGCATGTGATCTTTTCCCTTCAATCGAAAGATTTTTTTTTATAGAATGAAAAGCACAGTTGGAATAATTTCACACATTCAAAACAAAATGCACATTGTTTCTTTGCTCTACATTCATCTTCTGTTTATGTTCTTCGACGTGTCTATTATTAATATAGTAGAGATGATCAATTACCAGCACACCCCATTAAACGTCTTCAACTTGACCAAGATGGAAACGTAACCTTTATCTACGTGAAGAACGATGTTTCATTATCAATAATACTTGTGAGTTGAACATTTTCGTCTCAACAGTCGGAAAATGATCATGAACTTGAATGGCTACGAATATATGCTTATATTACAGATTCTTATTGAAGATTAGAACTACAGAACACGAATAAAACAATTGCTCATGCTGTTGAAAAGGTTGCTAATAGAATGATTAAAGAAGGATCACGAATTAATAAAGTACATGAAGCCTAATGACTTTCTCGTCAGATAATGTTTGTTAAAGGTCGTAGTTTCGACATTAAAGTAGGCTCTTTTGAAAAATTTCTCTCGAAAAGAAGTAAATTTCTATAGAAAAAAGTCAGATTTGTATCAATTAAATAATCGTATTATTTGTGAACGAATGGAAAACTTCTAAACCATTCTGTTGATTATATTGATCGATATTTGTATGACAATTCTAAGTATATCGTAGTTTAAATGTAGACGATTAACAACGAAAGTTATGAAATTGAGATGTTTTATTTGTATAAGTTCTAACCTTAAAATAGCTGAATTTTCTAATGTAAATACACTTGTTATTATTGATCTAAATCAGCGTTGCAATAATCTTAATGATATTCCTTACGATAGAAATATCTCATTTCAATCTGATTTGTCTCGAGAAAAATAATTGTTAATTTTGTCAGGAAAAAATTTTCTTTTTGTTAAATATCAATATGGTATTCTCAAGAAAGAACATCTCATTTACCCAAAATCGTAAAGGTTTTGTTTAAATTTTTATCGTCGAGCAAAATATTACTTTTAAATAGTCCTAGGTTTCACAACTAAAATAATCTTTAGTAAATATAAGTTAGTTGATCAAATAAGTGACATTTATTATATTGAAAAGGTGATGGAAGAAGAGACGAACCGCAGATATTGTTAATTATAAGACAATATAGGGCATAGGACGAAACAGATCGTCTTTAACCCTTGTGATGCTCGTCTTGAGACGGGTATGGGTATGGGTTGTATTTTTCACCTTAATCACACCCATACCCTTCAGCTTCAAACTGAGGCTGAACTTCCTCTACAAATATTTTCTGACTTTCTCACTAGTTATTTCTATTAACTACATCTACATTCTCATCCAATCGATGTTACAACAATGAAGAATGTATTATATTAAGTAGGTCCACGCTGGGTATTCAGTGTGAAATACTTTCTATTTGTGCAGATTATCCAAGGCGTATACATAATCTTATCAGTTATATGGATTACTTTCAAAAATTGAATGCTCAGTATGAATTTGGAGACTTTGATGAAATATCATGCTTACAGTTAGCATCGACAGCAAATGAACCCTTGCAGTGTTAGTGAGAATATCTGACATTTGCATGTTCAATTGTGGCAAAAAAATTCTTTGTCTAGGCTCGCATGACTGTAGATTCACTAATACTTTAGATATGAGTGTACCAGACGAGAACTCGTTAGGACTTATTTCATGAAATACTTGATTGACAACGATAGCTTGAAGGTTAAATATCAATATGAAGTTTAACTTTTGAATTTCAACTTCAACATGTGAAGTAAGTAGAAAGATTTGAATCTTATCATATGAACAGGAATGTAGAAATTGAATTTAAATAGTTGAATATTCAAAGTAAAATTTTTCTTTTCAATTGAATCAAGTTTTCAAGTTTTACACATATGTTTCTTGAAGTCATTCATTTTATGTGTTAGGTGCGGTCGATTCTACCAAGTCGACTGGTATTTTTCATATGACAAATTAGGAATATTCTTATTTGATCTACGATTCATTTTAATGATGGGACAAGCTGATTTTTTTCGTCTGGGATCTCTTTTACCTTTCGATAAATTACGTATGTTATATTTGCTTTCCATCTAGCCAGTAGACCTTATCCGCGTAAAGAGAAGAGGAATATCTAGACTATTAAAACGTAACAGTGAATGTATGATGAAGATATTTGAGAGTCGATGTCATGCAGCATACATCGACTACATGCAGTATAAGATGATCGGTCGTGAAGAGATAACACTGACGACTATCGCCATCGCCGCTGCACTTTTATTACACCCGCATTCAAAATCAATCATCAATAGATCGATTTGTACCAGCATTTCTGAACGAAAGAGCATTCTACTCAGAAATTGTAATCTTTAAATCTGCATTTTAATCAAACTTTCTAAGAAAACTTCGATTGAATCGATAAATGAGAAAACAATGAACGATGAGTTCGATTGAGAATACCTTGTAAGTTTGTCTGTTTCCGATATCGATCATTGGTAGCGAGTTAAATAGACACATTTGGTGCAAATGACGAATTACTTTCTGAGACTTAACTTGTAGAGCGTGACTGTTTGTACAGGTATATCGATCTTTTCTTTATCAATCCATATATCTCACCCCTCCCAAGAACGGCATGGTAATTTCTGCATTGACTACTAAAGCTGTTCATACTTTTATGTATTGAAATTATCATCATATACACTTCATTTATGGACATATAACAGAATATATTCTGATTCTGGTGTTTTTTCAAAATCGTATAGAATTATTTATGATCTCATGATGCTCGTAGGCGAAAGAAAATCTAGATTATGGTATTTTTTTTTATTTTCATATTTATCATACAGTTACTCCTCTTTTTTCCTATCTCATTTCATTTCAAGATTGATTCGTTTTTTTCTTTTGAATAGAAACACACAAACTTTCTTTCTTGTTTCATATGTATATGAACAATGTTCTTCTTGTTGCTTATTTCATTGCATTGCTAATCACTCTTTTCTGTGCATAACATCCGCATAAATCTAAATCATGGTAGCTATTCAAACACATTTCATCTCATACTTACCTCACTAACTATTTGAGTGTTCTATTTTCGTGAATTGACATAAAACAGATATGAAGTCAAAACTATCTCATGGAACCTTTTGAACAAGATGGGAATGTATTGCATTTTGTTTCACTTCTCAACGCTCACTCATAGTTTGTATGAATATATAAATCAAGAGACAAATAGTAAAAAAAAAAACTTACAAGAAATATTGGTAGCACTAAGTAAAAGTTAGAAACAGTGAATAGATAAAAAAACCACAAGTTAGAAGTTTCAACATTAACAAGTCTGTAAGAAAATTTTTAAATTGTCAGCATCTTTGTTAGCGACTGCGAAATCTAGCTTTCCATCATTGTTAAAATCATCAACGGAAACCGAGAATGGACGAGATCCATAATCGGTCGAAAAAACCTTTACGTCAGCAAAGGAACCATTACCATATCCAACTAGCACACCTACATTGTTGGTGCCATAATTGGTGACGATAATGTCTAGTAAAGTGTCGTTGTTGAAATCACCAACAGCAACCATGCAGGGTAAAGATGCGAAGCCCGTCGTAAACATCTTTTGGCTTGAGAAAGAACCATTACCGTATCCAAGAAATATTCCAACGGTGTCATTGTCATAATTAGCAACGACGATATCCAATATGGTATCATTGTTGAAATCGCCAACAGCAATAGACACTGGAGTAGAGCCAGTTGAAAATACCGTTTGATTTGCGAAAGATTCATTGCCATATCCCAAAAAAATGCCCATGGTGTTAGTACCCGAATTCACGACTGCTATATCCAGTTGATTATCACTGTTAAAATGCCCAGTGGCGAATGACATTGGTCGAGACCCATTGCCAGTTATGAGCGTCGTTTGTTTTACAAAAACTTGATTGGCATATCCTAGCAGTACACTTACACTGCTGCCGTCATGATTAGGGGAGACGATATCAAGTCGACCGTCGTTATTCAAATCACTAAGAGCTACACCGTATGGAGTAGTGCCAATTGAATATGTTATTTGATTTGCAAAAAAGCCATTGCCATATCCTAGAAGCACACTTACAGTATTGTCATCAAAATTACTGGTAACAATATCCAGTTGAGTATCATTATTTAAATCACCAACTGCTACGTAAAGTGGCGAATTACCGGTGGAATATATCGTCTGATTTGCAAAAGAACCATTACCATATCCGAGAAGTACACTGGTAGTGTTGTCATCACGATTAGTGACGATGATATCCAGTCGACTGTCGTTGTTAACATCACCGACAGCTACAAATATTGGTGCAGTGCCAGTGGAATATTTCACTTGTCTTGCAAAAGAACCATTACCATACCCTAGAAGTAAACTTATAGACTTGCTATCAAAATTAGCGACGACGATATCCAGTCGGCTGTCGTTATTAAAATCACCAACAACTACAGAGAATGATCGAGAGCCAGTTGAATACTTCGTTTGACTTGCAAAAGAGCCATTGCCATATCCTAGAAGTAAACTTATAGACTTGCTATCAAAATTAGCGACGACGATATCCAGTCGACTGTCGTTATTAAAATCACCAGTCGCTACAGAAGATGGTTTAAAGCCAACTGAAAATGTTTTTTGTCTTGCAAACGAGCCATTGCCATAACCAAGAAGTACACTTACAGTGTTCTCCAAATAATTAGCGACGACGATATCCGATCGGGCATCGTTGTTAAAATCACCAACAGCTACAGAGGATGGGCCATTTGCAACTAAATATGTCATTTGATTTGAAAAAGAGCCATTACCATATCCAAGGTATACAGCTACATTTTTGTAATACTCCATAGTGACAACCATATCCAGTCGAGTATCGTTATTAAAATCACCAAAAGCTATAGAGGTTGGCCA